CCTCTATGTGACATCCTTTATATATTTGAACATGGCTATCATATCACCCCTTAACCTCCTCTTCTCCAGGCTAAACATGCCCAGCTCCCTTAGCCGTTCCTCATAAGGCATCGTTTCCAGGCCTTTGACCATTTTGGTTGCCCTCCTCTGGACACGTTCCAGTTTGTCAGTGTCCTTCTTGAACTGTGGTGCCCAGAACTGGACACAGTACTCCAGGTGAGGTCTGACCAGAGCAGAATACAGTGGCACTATTACCTCCCTTGATCTAGATGCTATACTCCTATTGATGCAGCCCAGAATTGCATTGGCTTTTTTAGCTGCCGTTGAGGGAGGGGAATTCGTGGCACCAGAGCCCCCCGCCCCAGCCGCCTGGCTTCTGCCCCACACGGCAGAGCCCCTTCCCCACAGCTCCGTCAGGGGGGCGATGGGTCTGCCACATGCTAGCCAAGCGCATCTCCAAAGGGGCTCCCCTGCACAAAGGAGAAGCATTTGTGCACAAGCTTAGCAAAATGGGGTCAAGGCAACCTTCCTCAGATCTGCCTTGGCTGGCAGAGGAGGCTCCTCATCTGAAAAGGGGGGGGGCTTTATTTGGGAACCAGCAGTATCTGAAGAAGTGTGCATGCACACGAAAGCTCATACCAAGAACTAACTTAGTTGGTCTTTAAGGTGCTACTGGAAGGAATTTTTTTTGTTTTGACTATGGCAGACCAACACGGCTACCTATCTGTAGCAGGGAAGGGGTTTGTGCCATGGTGGGAATTCGGAGGAATGGGGACGAACAGGTTTGTGGAATTCCCCCTTGCAAATGGATGGCACGGCCACGTTTGGGATGCTGCCCCTCAAAAAGGATATTGTGGGGATAGGAAAGGAGATGGAGGGGCAGAGGGGCTCCCCTAGGAAGAAAGGGGGACGCATTTGGTACATTTCAGGTCAGAGAAAAGGAGGCTGAGGGGCAAAAGGATAAGATTCAGGATGGATAAAAGCAAGCTATTTGATGAGATTTGATGGGAAGTTTTCAACAGTTCAACAGTTGATGTTTTATGGAGTTTTTAATATTTTGTGGGAGGCCCCCAGAGTGGCTGGAGCCACCCAGTTAGATGGGCGGCATATAAATAAATTTCTTATTCTTATTAAGCACATGTTCACCTGTGGAACTCACTGCCACAGGAGACAGTGAGGGCCACCAACCTGGTTGGCTTTGAAGGGGGATGAGAGTTTTAGTCACAAGGACCAGGTGGATCTTCCAGGTTCAGGGGCAAAATACCAGTCATGGGGGAGCAGACATTCTTTCTTGCTTGCGGGCTTCTGAGGCCAGTGTGGGAAAGAGGAGGCTGGTCTAGATGGGCCCAGAAGGGCCCCCAAGGGAAGGACGGAGACTCAGCGGCGGTTTTGGCGGGTCTCTGGGTCACCGGCAGAGAGGTGCGATTTGCCACAAAGGAACCCCCCCCCCCTGAGTTTCCATCTAAATGCAGGCAAGGTTTGTGTTTGCAGGCAAGGTGAGCACAGATGTGCAGGTGCGCCAGCAAGCCCAGACACACACCTGCACATACAGAGACGGGGATTTGGAGGGGGGAGGAGCTGCTAAAGTCTGGAGGCTGCAAGGACCAAGAAGGAGCTACCCCCCCACCCCCACCCCGCACACAAGCACACACTGGTTCCAGCGGCCAGTCCAGGGAGCCCTCAGCACCCCCCAAAAGTGCTCTCTGGCCAAAAGTGCTGATCCCGTGCCGTCTGCCCTGGCCAGCAGGGTGAGACCAGGCTGCTCAGCTGCCTGGCCTCAGGATGCCAGGGCCGCGCTCACAAAGCCTACCTCACAGGCAGAGCGGAGGAGCGGGGGGGGGCCACCGGCCCCTCAGGAGACGAACGGCCTTCAGAGGCCCCTGGACCTGCTCAACCGTCCCCCGTGGGAGCTGAATTTGTGTCCTTTTGGGGAGCGGGGAATGGGGGGGGGGAGCCGGCAGCCCCAGCCGATCGATCCCAGCAGGCGGCCGGCGGGGCAGAGGCAAAGACGGGCAGCCTTGGCTGGGCCTGTCGCTTCCAATCAGGCGGCAGCGGCAACCTCGGGGGACTGTTTTGATCATTAGCGCAGAGGACTTTTTCATCGCTTAGCTCAATCAAATTAATCCGAAGTGAAAAACGAGGTGCTGACAAAGGAACTGCGCATAAAGGCAGCCCTGCGACAGTGGAGGAGAGCAGAACGGGGGCTCCCAAAGCAGCCCCCCTCGCAGCCAGCGCCAAGCGGACGCGGAGAGAGGAGGGGGCCCTTGCCCACCCCCTCCAGCCCCCGGCAGAAGCCTCCATAGCAGCTCAGGGGACCCAGGCCATGCTCAGAGCCCTGCACCTGGAAGGAAGCACTCTTCAGCAGCCCTGAGCACCATCAAATCTATGCTCCCGGGTGCCATAAGAAAGCTGCAGGATAGTGCGCACCCCGGAAATGATCTCTTTCAGCTTCTGCCTTCTGGAAGAAGGTCCAGGGTTATAAAGACCAGGACTAGAGCCTGAGAAACAGATTCTACCCAAATACGATTTTGGTTTTAAACACGGTGTAAGGTAGTCTTAAGGGACAAGGGTGGCGCTGTGGGTTAAACCACTGAGCCTAGGACCTGCCGATCAGAAGGTTGGCGGTTCGAATTCCCACGACGGGTGAACTCCCGTTGCTCGGTCCCTGCTCCTGCCAACCTAGCAGTTCGAAAGCACGAAGTGCAAGTAGATAAATAGGTACCGCTCCAGCGGGAAGGTAAACAGCATTTCTGTGCGCTGCTCTGGTTCGCCAGAACCGGCTCAGTCATGCTGGCCACATGACCCGGAAGCTGAACGCCGGCTCCCTCAGCCAATAAAGCGAGATGAGTGCCGCAACCCCAGAGTCACGACTGGACCTAACGGTCAGGGGTCCCTTTACCTTTACCTTAAGGTAGTCTTTATGTGAGTATATTGTATTTAAAAATGGCGTATCAGAGTTTTTAGGGGGCTAAGCAGGTTGGGATAGCAGGCTTGTTGGTTTTGAATGTCTGATGTAGATTTTTCAGTTTGGTTGTTCTTTATGGGACAATGACAATAAAGACTATCGTGCGCGTGCAAAGTCACCGGCAGAAAATGCAACAAAGGAGCTGCAAGAGGCCTTATTTGGGGAGGGGGAGGGCTGGGAGGCCCCCACAGCCCCTTGGAATGTGAGGAGGAAGGGAAAAAGGAAGGTCATGGTGGAGAGAAAACGGATCTCTGGGCGGTTGCTCAGGCTACCGTCGCCCCCTCCCTGTCCCGGTGTAATAACAGCTCTGGATATGGGTCAAGAACTCCTCCGTGGGTGGCCAGGGTGCCCACCCACAAGAGCAGGAGGGGACGAGGCAGAGGAAACACACCAGGAGCTGGGCATGACCCAAAGCCCCCCCCCCAGCCCCAAATTCTCCGCCTGAGGGTCTGTCGTCACGCCTGGGATGACGCCAGAGAGGTGGAACTCAGCTGTCAAGGGACGGCCAGAGGTCCCCTCCCACAAAGGGGGCTGGCAGCACCCCACGTCAAACCCAACAGAGCCCACTGCCCAGGCAACCCTAATTCCATGACCCAAAACAACGATCCCCATTCAAGTCTGCGTGTGATTCACGCTGCTAGTTCTGTGTGAGGAGGTGCAGTTCTCCAAGCTGCCTTCCAGCCGCACCGGGAAATGCCAGCTGCCCCTCCTCCAGATTCAAGCCCCCGGGCGCCCAGCAGGGTGAGGGCTGAGCCAAGGAGAGTGGGCTGGGACCCTCCCCACAATACAGCTTCCTCCCTGCTGCCGCCAGCCTTCTGCTGGGGCCAGGCTCATTCAGGCCCCGCTGAGCAAGCCAGGAAAGGCCCGCTTTGCCCCTGCCTTGGACCAAAAGGGATGCGGGCCCAGAAGGGGCTGCCAGGGAAGATCAGGGACGGAGCCGCCTGTCAAGGGCAGACCAGGCAAAGCCAGGAGGAAGAGGCCGGCCGGTTTGCGAGCGGCACACTCAACTGTGCCAGGGAGCCCCTGGCACCCGGATCTTTATCCCTTCTCACAGGTTGTTGATGGGGGGAGACAGGAGTGGGTCCGAGGAAGACCCCAGAAGCCACAAAAAACCTTCCCTCCCCGCTTGCGTGCAAAGGTGCCCCTTGCCACCCCCAAACTGCCTCTTGACGCAAACATTGCTGCAGGAGACACCCTCCAGTTGCCCCCCATGGGGGGCTGAAAACAAGAGCAGCTCAGCCTGAACCTCCGGCCGGGCACCAGCCAGCCCACAGGCCTCAAACTGGGCCAAATCGCCACCTTCAAAGCCTTCCTCCATCATCATCATCATTTTAGATTTATCTACTGCCCTTCATTTAAAGATCTCAGAGCATTTATACATTTATACATTTATTAAGAAACCAGAAGCATTTTAATTGGCATTGTAGGAGATGATATAAACAGAAAGGATTGTAAGCTGTTTTTATATGCAATGACGGCAGCAAGAATATTATTGGCACAAAAATGGAAGCAAGAAGAATTACCGGCAAAAGAAGAATGGAGGATGAAATTGATGGACTATGCAGAATTGGATAAACTAACCGGAAGAATTCGAAACCTGCGGGACCAGAGATTCACAGAAGACTGGTGTAAATTTACGGACTATTCGAAAAGTAATTGTGACGACCAGATTACGTTTGTAGGTTTGCAAGAAGTTTTGTGAGGTAAGTTATTTGAATTATTGCAAAAATGGTTAAAGGGGTGGATTGTGAGTTAAGATAATTAAAGGCAATAGGAATTTAAGAAATGCAGAAGAAATGATAAAAATGGTGGATCATCAGAGGTGCTGATCCAAAAAGATTGCGTAAAATGTGAAGTTCTGTGGAATGTATAATAATTGGTATGTTGAAATTAATAAAAAAAATATATTAAAAAAATATAAAGATCTCAGGGCGGTTCACAAAATAAAAAGAGGGGCCCTGGTGCCTAGCCGTGGTTCGGGGGCTCTGCCCCGGCCCCCGCCAGCCCACCTGCCTCGGCCCCCTTCCGGGCTTACCTTCTTCCCAATCAACTTCTTGCGCAGAAACTCCCGGGCCTCAAACATGTAGGGAATGTCGTAGAGGGGGCGCAGCTTCCGGTTCTTGTCCTGCGGAGGGAAAGCAACAGCAGTCAGGGCAGTGATTAAGGAGATTAAGATAAAAGATCAAAAGTTATTCATGTGTGCCACAGCTGTGGCAAGGACTTTGCTGGCCCAAAATTGGAAATCACAAGATGTTCCTACTATTGCGGAGGGGCAGTCGAAAATGACAGACTACGCCAAACTGACCGGAAGGATTCGGGATCAGAGATTCAAGGACGATTGGAGTAAATTTGCTGAATATTTGAAGGACAGTTGTAAAAACGTAAAAACACTAGCAGGACTGAAGTAACTCCTACAATGTAAAATAGATAGGGTGGGAAATGATAAAATATGCAATGGACTTGATAAAGGATACCAACGGAAGGGAGGGAGGGAAGCCACGAGCTCGGCAGAGCAAAAAAGTTTATGTGTTGAAGAATGTATGGCAAGAAATAATATGTAAAGAAAATAATAAAAATGTACAGTGGTGCCTCGCAAGACGAAATTAATTCGTTCCGCAAGTCTCTTCGTCTTGCGGTTTTTTCGTCTTGCGATGCACGGTTTCCCATAGGAATGCATTGAAAATCAATTAATGCGTTCCTAGGGAAACCGCCTTCAGACCAGGTCCGGGGACAGTCTGTCCCCCGACCTCTTCTGAAGGCTGGGGGGGGGGGGACAAGGGCTTTTCTTCCCACTGCCAGCCTTCAGAAGGCTGTTCTGAAGGCTGGTGGTGGGAAGAAAAGCCCTTCTTCCCACCTCCCGCCCCGCAAGCTCCGGGGACAGGAGGGCTTTGCTGCCGACCGCCAGCATTTTAAAAGCCCCTGCTGTCCCGGGGCGATTTTAAAATGCTGGCGGGCGGGAGCGAAGTCTCCACTGCCCCGAGGAGATTTTAAAATGCTGGGGGTCGGCAGCGAAGACTTTTGCCCCCGCCTGCCTTCAGAAGAGGTCCAGGACCTCGTTCCGATGCCCGGCGGCGGGGTGAGAGGTTCCCGCCCCCCGCCCCGCTTCGGAGCAGCGTTCCGAAGCGGGGCGGCTGGGGCAGGTGTTCCCTCCCCCCCGCCCGGCTTCGGAGCACCGGGAGAAGCGATCTCCCCGCAGCCCCTTGCTTCAAAAGAGGTCCGGGGGCAGCGGGAAGTGCTTCCCGCTGTCCCCGGACCTCATTTGAAGCAAGGGGCGGTGGGGAGAAGCGATCTCCCCGCAGCCCCTTGCTTCAAAAGAGGTCCGGGGGCAGCGGGAAGCGCTTCCCGCTGTCCCCGGACCTGGGGCTGCGGGGAGAAGATCGCTTCTCCCCGCCGCCCCTTGCTTCAAAAGAGAAGACCCGCTGTCCCCTGGGCAAGCTTCGTTTTGCGAAGCAAGCCCATAGGGAAATTCGTCTTGCGAGGCAACTCGAAAACGAAAAAACCTTTCGTTTTGCGAGTTTTTCGTCTCGCGAGGCGTTCGTCTTGCGGGGTACCACTGTATTGGGGGGGGGGAGGACAGAAGTCAGGGCAGTGGCAGAGTCCCCAGGAGGGGTGGCGATGGGAGCAGAAGCCGTTCACGGCTCAAACGGGACATGTCTCCCCTTTTTTGAAATCCTTTTTTATTTGATTTTACAGATGTAAATTAGTTACAATACCAAATACATATCCCCCCCCCATCCTCTCCATGGGTCCTATTGTCAACTTTTCCAAGTGCATATTATTTCATAATCTATATTTCAATATTGTCCATAGCATTTGGTGAGGTTAAAAGCCTGCTAATGTTTTCATCTGTTTACAGTGGTCTCCTAAATCAATTATAATTTTTTCCCCATTCTTTCTTGAATTTCTTGTCTTTAGGTCACTTCAAGAAGAGAACCAGCCCAGTCCCCTGGTCATTTCATTTATTTATTTGTAAAAATAATAATTGGGGACCGTGAAATCATTAAAAAGAAAAATCAAAGCAGTATACAAATGCAGTATACAACTACTGAAAAGTTAAAAACAGACATCAGTTAGCCGTTGCGGACAGATGAGTTCCCCACTGCCTACATAGGATTCAGGCAGAATAGGAGTTTTCATCTATCATTTAAAAGTTGGCACCTGCTGGATCTCCAGTGGCAGTGAGTTCCACAGGACTAGGCCAATGACATTAAAGGCTCAGCTCCTTGTCCTTGTCAAGGGAGCCTCACCAACATGGGGAATGACGAGCAACGTTCCTGCAGGTGATCTGAGTGACTGAGCTGGGATATAAGGGGGGGGGTGCAAGCTGTCCAGGGCTTTGTAAATCAAGGCAAGGCCCCTAAACCTGGCTGGGGAGCAGATGGACACCCAGTGCAGGGGCTTTAACACGGAGGTCACCTGTTCCGCCACTGCCTGCCCCCCTCTCCAGCCCCTGCCTCCAAGGCAAGCTGCTTTGCTGTGAACCCCCCCCCCCCACACACACACATACACAACTTCTCAAGGCACATGCCAGCACAGAGGCCGAGCGAGTCATCCCTGGAAAAGCAGGTCGCTTCTCCCACCCGGAGCCCATCGGAGCCGCCAGCCAGCCCATCACGGCTGAACATCTCTGACAGCTGCCGAGGGGAAGCCCCAGGGCACAGCCAGGGCTCAAAGGCCGGAGTCGGGGGCAGCCGCTGGCCGTGGCAACGTCTGGCACAGAGCCAGGCTGGACGCAGCAGAGTGGAGGAAGCCTGTTTCGATCTGGGCACAGGCCTGGGTATGGCGCCAAAGCAGAAGGGCACCATCTTGCCCCAAGTGCCGCTTGGCATCTCTATGAAGCCCCTGGGAGAGGCTATGGGGAGATTGGGGGCAAGGCGTCATCCGGCATCCGGACAGGGATTATATGTTTCTGGACCAGCCTCCCTCTCCCCCCCCCCCCCGGTCACCCATGCCCTGGGTAGGGCTGCCCTGGTGCAAATCACCCAACTGCTCGCTAGGGCAGGATCTCGCCAGCATTTCAACTTGCCGCTGGAAAAACTGCACTGGCTGCCCGCTGGAGAGCAGGGAAAGTTGAAGCTGCTCATTTTTCGTGTGCAAAAAGCCCAGGCGGCTTGGGACCAGGAGACCCGAAAGATGCTCAATCGCCCCTTCTCTCTGCCCAATCGAACCTGGAGCTCTGCAGGCGAGGACGTCCTGCAGAGACTCTCTTACTGGGAGGCCTGTGCCACCCAACTCAGCGCTTGGGCTGGTGTGCGGCAGCTCCTCTGCCCTTTTAGGATTCCCCCCTTGAACATGAGGCAGGCGCAGACTCCGCTGCCTTTTGGCGCCGCTGAAGACCTTCTCCTCCCAAGGAGGCGTTTAAGGGCAGACCTTTCCCAGGCTGTGTCTGTTTTGGAATTGTTTCTAAGCCGCTTCCTCGGCGCTTGTTTGCTGCCCTGGGCTCCTTGGGGAGGCAGGGCCAGATATAAACGGAATGAGTAAATAAGAAAGCAAATAAAGCCTTTTGAGCAGAAGCTACTCAAATCCAACAGCAACAGTCAGCTGAGCCAGGAAACTGCCTCAAGCTCTGGGCAGGCAACCTTTCGCTCAAGCACTCAGCCAGGGAGGGGGAAGAAAGCCCTCCCTTCTGGGGGCCATGGGTGAGATCTGGAGGGGCCACACATCCAGCCTGCAGATCGACATCTCCACCCAGAAATGCCCCACACACTGTCGGCTGATTGGAACAGGTGCCCACAAGCAGCCCCAGGGAGGGCACACACCTGGGAGAAAACCTCCTTCTGGGCTGGTGGCACTAACAGGCATAGAATCGGGACCACGGGGGTCATCTAGACCAACCCCCTGCAATGCAGGAATCTTTTGCCCAACGCAAGATTCAAACCCACAGCCTTGAGATGAAGAATCTCACGCTCTACCAACTGCGCTCTCCGTCCATGCAAAAGAATCCATGGACAGGAAAAACCTCCTTGGGCAACAAAGACCTTTGCCAAACATGCCCTCAGAGGCTAAAGCAAGGCTGGGGGGGGGGTTGGAGTGTGAGGGAAAGAACCAGGCCACAATCTGCGCCCAGCATTTGGGAAACGCCACCCCCTCCCCCTACGGATACTTGGGAGTTTGCTCAGCTCTCCTCCGCAGCCTCACGGCATTGCCTAATCTTTATTTATTATAAATGCCTCTGTCCTCCTCCCAGGAATGCAAAGGTCTGCAGAGTTGCCAGCGCAGGACCCTCCTCCCTGCATCCTCCGCGGGGGGAGAGGCTGCGGGCAAACAGGGCAATAAATTATTACATATCTGCGTGTGTGACAGAGCGGCTTCCCAGGTAACAGGAGCGCAGAGCTCAAGGTGCTGCAAATTAACCCTCACTTAAATCCAAGCTTAGCAAGTCCATTAGCTATGCAAACACCGCTCAGCCTGGCTCCTACCCAACCCCCACAGTGCCCACTCGCCCCCTTTCGGCTGCTCTGAGGGGGGGGGGTGGCATACACCAGGCAGCTCCTATTCTCGGCCTCCCAGAAAGCGGGTCAGCAGGAACGCTGGAGAAGCGCAGATCAGGGAGAAGGACTGCCGGGACAGCTCAGCTGGCTAGAGCCTGGTTCTGATAAGGTTGCAGGTCCAGTCCCCTTACGGGACAGCAGCATATTCTTGCATTGCAGGCGGCTGGACTAGGACATGGGTAGGCAAACTAAGGCCCGGGGGCTGGATCCGGCCCAATCGCCTTCTCAATCTGGCCCGCAGACGGTCCAGGAATCAGCATGTTTTTACATGAGTAGAATGTGTCCTTTTATTTAAAATGCATCTCTGGGTTATTTGTGGGGCATAGGAATTTGTTCTTTTTGCTCGCTCCAAAATAAAGTCCAGCCACCCACAAGGTCTGAGGGACAGTGGACCGGCCCCCGGCTGAAAAAGGTTGCTGACCCCTGGACTAGGATGATCCTCACGTTCCGTTCAGACTCTACGATTCTCTGAATGCTCCAGGCCAGGCCTAGGCAAACTCGGCCCTCCAGATGTTTTGGGACTACAGCTCCCATCATCCCTAGCTAACAGGACCAGTGGTCAGGGATGATGGGAGTGGCAGTCCCAAAACATCTGGAGGGCAGAGTTTGCCTGTGCCTGCTCCAAGCAGCTGGT